ACAGACAGACAGACAGACAGACAGACAGACAGACAGACAGACAGACAGACAGACAAACAGACAGACAGACAGATAAATGAACAAGTATACTTATCATTATGCAAGACGTATGACACGATGAGCCACAGTATTGTAGAAGGAAGTACCTGAATACCTGGACGTGTCCTCTCTGCCTCAGAGGTTGTTGACGTGGAATGACCCGCCATTGCTTACGGTCCAAGCTGTCGCTATTACACTCTGTCATACTCAGGCCAGTCCATGCAGACTCAACAACCCTGGTGTGGAAAGACCTTGGAACATTTGAACCAATCGTTTAAATTATATTGTGGGACGTGGGTAATTCTGAGAGCAAGCTGACCGACAGACATTCCCAACTTTGGATGAACACACTGTCCTAACTAAAGGCGGGAAGAGGGAGTGGTAGGTAGGTGTTTTATTCAGTGTTTAAGGCCACTGTCCGACATCGCGAAAACAAAACAAAACAAAACAAAGCAATAAAAAGAATAAAATAAGGTATTTTACAGAAGAGGCTTCCGGGAAAACAGCATAAGTAGTAAATGACATGCATAATCAATAACGTTTAAAAATCCTATTGCATTGCTAAACAAAGTTTCTATAATAAAACAGGACAAGTTGTACACATACCTCTTCTTATGGGTCATACATTGCATATTTCTATCACTGGGATGAGTCAACGGGGGGTTTGGAGGAGGGAGGGTGGATATGAAGAATTTTCTTTGATTAGCAACGTTTGAACAATTAAAAAACGGAGTGAAATTCAGCTGCAATTTCATGAGAGTTACGCCTCTCACATAAAGATGAATTTATTAATTTCAACCGATAAAGATTTATATTCAGTTGCAGTCTTTGGGTGCAAGATGAAGTCGACAGAAAAGCGTGGTAGGCCTAAAAGGTTTTTCTTGTATTATTATTTGGTTTCTTTTTCTTATGCGTGGCTGTTTTATGCCCCCATCAACTCTATTTAGGTCATTTAGAAGGCGGGCTTCTACCCTACCTGTCAGGACCACA